AGCAAAGCGGAAGAGATGAGCCACGAGCCACATTGTTGTCAGCAACACCTTTACACGATGCTTTACTCAGCAAATAACATAATCAGCCTGCTCCCCGGTACAGAATGGTGATTCCCCACAGAGAGGGCTCCCCGTTTAAAAAACTAATGCTCCCCATGGACATTTGACTGACCAAAATTCCAGGGTGCTCTCACCACCTTGCTGCTCCAGCCTCTGCTCCTCGGTCCCACTGGTACGATACGTGCAGGGATCCCATAGCTTCTTCCTTAGGAGCAATCTAAGAATTAAAATAAACTCCATGCCATATTGTAATAACATTAAATAAAAGTGATTTGATGGCAGCCCCACCAGTTTGCTGGATACCCAGCGCCGCAGGCAGGGCGCATCAGGAAGCAGAGGTGGCAGCAGTAAGAAAAGTCCTTTTCTTTTTCCTGAGAGAGAGGAATATTAAGGGGCCAGCAGCAAGCAGAAGCTGCAAATCCAACAGGCTTTGATTTCTAAATTTGATTTACAAAGATCTCCTGTTATGAACAGTCAGGGCTCGCCAGAGCCTGGTGCCACCCTGTAGGTGTCCACAGCAGCGGTGCTGGTGGCAGGGCTGAGACGGGGAAGCCGGGCGCTCCTCCCTGACCCCACTACTGCTTGGGCATGGTGAAGTCCCACGCCGTCTCCTGGGCGCATTTCCACATGGCCCGCATGAGTCGCGTGAAGCCCATGTCCTTGGGCTTCTCCAAGCCTCTCATAAGCCGCTGCTTCATTATGGCAACAAACTCCTTGTTGCTCAGCTCGCCATTCCCTGCAAGAAGAAAAAAAGTAATACTAAAACCCACCGACAACCTCCTTCCTGCATGCGCTAACTTTAGAGGGCAGCAGCCACAAGTGTCATTTCTTGCAGAGACTGAAATCACGTTTGGCTTCCAGCTCCCAAAATATCCCGCTGAGCCAGGGTCACCGAACCACGGCATTTAAATCCCAAACCTACGGACGCTGCCCTGCTTAGCCTGGCACAGCCACATCCTGCAGGGTCTGGAGAGCCGCAGCTTGAAGACAGAAAAGCAAACGCAAAGGAAAATGCCTACGCACCCCCAGGAAACTCCCAGCTTTAAGTGATTTAGGAAATTATGGGAGGATGGGGTAAGAGAGCACAGATTTTTCTTAATGGAGTAGAAGGGAAGATTCATTAAAGTAATCTAGTGAGGTTACTGAGAGTTATGTCAATTAAATTTACGTTAAAAATAAGATTATAGGAAATTGGAGCAAATTTTATTCTGGAGTTGCTTAACCACGAATAAATTAAAACCTCTGGGATTTTTATTTAAGTCGCTGGTTGATCGGAGGGGACAGCAGCAAGCTGCAGCACGACCGACAGCCTGGTGCCTGTCTGCTGAGGGGCTGATGCCCTCTGTCACCAAGCCACACGTATCCCATTCCCTATTTTTCTCCCCTGCCTGCGGCGCGCAGCTGATAGCACTGATTTTGGATTCTGGGGAGCAGCACAGGAAAGCAACCCGCCTTTAGGAACAGAAGAAATATAAGGGACATCAGCCCTCAAGAAACAAACCTGCCAGTGCCATCGGTTCCCCAGATCAAAGGGGAGCGACTCTCTGGCTGATACGGGGAGTTGCATCATTGTATTTCATGAACAAGTTTCTTCATTGGCGAGCTTTCTTCCCTGCCCTTACATCCAAATGCAAATCTGGGCAGCTAAATTCTAGCAAATTATCAAGGGGCAAGTAAAATTCCCTCCAGTGCTGCAGGGTTTTGATGCATGCATGGTAATGTCTATAAACACCAATGGAGTGAAAACAAACAAACACAAAAAAAAAAAAAAAAAAAAAAAAAAAGAGAGAGGTCTGTGCTTGCTTTTCCACTTCATTCCTCCCTGACAGGGACTCCTTTGGCAACCGCAGTCTTTCCCCCCAAAGGTTTGCTATCAAAATATTTAGCAGATTCTCCTATGAGAGGATGCCAACAGAGAATATTCGGCTACGCTTCAGTTCACTCAAATCTCCAGCCTGATCATCTGGTTTGAGGATTGTATCAGAAATGGGCAATGAAGCACAGAGAAAAATGAGAGATGCAACCTTAGAAAGGTGCAAAGAAGCAGGTGGGGCTGAAACCAAGAGGGACAAGAAGGAATAAAATAATTAAGAGATTTTTTACACGTGCATATTTATATCAGAAAGCAAACAACTGTCTGTTTCTGCATCACTGCTGCCGCTCAGAGCTGCCAGATCACAGTGACTGGGCACAGAGAAGCAGGGCACCAGCGAGGTCTCTGGTTTTGGCTCAATAGTTTTGGGGCAAATGCAGAATTTTGCTACTTTCCTACTTTCCAAGTCTGAATTGCTGCCATCATCCCCTGGTGGCAAAGACTCCACTAATTCTCATTACATCAACAGAGACAGCTTCAGCGTGGCAACAAGCTACCCCGGAGCGCTTGCATCCTCTGTGGGCCAGCAAAGCAATGAGTTTCCCAGCAGGGATCAGAGCTGCCATTAATTAATTAAGCTGATATTTGTCCAGGACTTTGGAGATAACAAAGTACCAGATAGGCTCGTTTCCAACACTGGAGCACAATAGCTCAATTTTGTTAAACAAAATAGAGTTTTGTGGGGGAAAAAAAAAAGCTGTGTAACAAGCCGTGGATGCAAACACTTGCATCCAGTGCTGTGAGATCAACATCTTGGGAGCTGGGTACCATCAGATACCCTTCCTAGAAGGGCAGGAGGATCAGTAGAGACCCACGGCCAAAAAGCGGATGATAGCACAGCAAGAAGAGCCAAGGCCGTGGCAAGCTTTCATGGTTGTCATTTTTTTGACTCTGTATTTCTTCCCTTGGATGGACTCTCACCCATCCTGGCAGAGAGGAACGAGACGAGGTTGGGGTCACTCACCGTCGCAGTCAAAGAGCGCGAACACCACGTCGCACACGTGGTCGGAGAGCTCCACCTTGGCCACCGTCCTGGCCACTTGCTGCATCGTCACTGCAATGGAAGGAGGGCACAAGGTTAGCGAGACGTCGTGATCTGCTGACTGCAGCGAACGAACACAGACAGAAGAGGGGCAGACTCTCATTCCTCCACAGAAAACTGCCTTTACAAAAACATGCCATGTACAGGGAGGTTTGAAATAAGCTTTGTCCTCAACACGTGCCTCAAAACCAGGTTCCTCAAAGCCTTGCTGTCCTACCGCAACACCGCACAGGCTGTGGAGGGGCAGCTGGCACGCATCGACGTGCTGTCATCCACGTGTTCGAGATAAACATTAAAAACACGGATTTTTTTTGTTGCAGCAAACACCAGGTGGAAAACCTCTCCTGGATCAACAAGGCAGCTCCTTCTGATGGCACTGCAAAGATCATGCTATATGAAAGCACTATTCCAACAGGCTGGGAATAATAAAAACCACTTTTCCTGTTAAACAACCCAGCACCAGTAACTGCAGAACGAACCCATCCACTCTCTCCCTGCAACAGGCTCTGCAGCGAGAAGACAAGGTTAACCTTACCATAAAATAGAGAGTTGTAACGAATTATTTCACTTCCCCCCCCCAAACTGGCAGCTGAGCTCATCAGCGAAGAAGGGAGCGGTAGTTTTATTCACGCCTCTAGAAAAGAGCAATCTGCGGAGCTATCAATCTGGCAGGGTTATGCAGTAGATTTTGCTGCATAAATGGAAAAATACAAACCCTCACTGGGCTGGTTTAGCTGTTTCTCTACATGCATTCATGTGTGTCCGGCTGCCATCTAGTCTCCCTTTGACGCCTGCTAATTGAAGGAGGAAAACGCTGGTTGTCACTGTTTGTCAGGGCTGAAATGCTCTGCAACTTTGCAGATACTCGATAAAACGGAAAGGCTTTGCATGAACATGAGCATATTTTAAGTTAAATTGCTGCCCTACAAAGTCTGACCCCGGGGAAACCCCATCCGGAGAGACTTCGCACCACGGCAGCGAGCTCACAGCCACTGGGATGAACGTTTAGCTGCGGCGCTCCCCTTCAGCCGTGCAAAAGAGGGAAGTGGTGCAACACAAACTCAGACTGAAACCAAAAAAAGCCTCTGCTTTCATCCACAGCATTCTTCTGGCTTCATACACTCGGGTCCCTTTGCAGAGCTATTGGCCCTTCAGAATTTAGAAGAGTTGTATGTCGGAAAGGAAAAAATAAGCACCCTATCTATAGCGTAACCGGATGAATTAGAAACTGCATAAAGTGTTTCTAATAGGATTTTTATTTTCATGAGTGTTCAGATTATTGGTTCCTTCCACCCCATTTCTGCTCCCCTGAGTGAGGTTTGGGGTTTGGGGAGAAGAATCTGCAGCTACCACCTTTGGGTCCTTCTTCCCCTATAAAATCCCTCCTTTTACTAAATAATGCAAAAGAAAACTGAAATTAAACAGAAGGTGGATTAATATATATATATAGGTAGGCATGTCCTGTTTCTCTGTAAGTAGTCTTTTTGAGTTAAAATCCTTTCCTACATGAGAGATGTCGCTCTGGTCTGCAGTTAGTACTCTATATTTCAGTTCTGGCACCGTACGTCAGGATACGGCTGCTGCTTCTGAGCATGTCTTGCTGGCAGCCGGAGCCTGCTTTGGGGAGGGCAGAGGCAATGCAATCATTAAAGCAAACCTGAATTAATTTTGTTCCCCGGCCTTACGGCCCAACCTTGCCGACAGAGCCGTGGGGAGACCACGCGTCTCTCCCAGCCCACCCACGCCAACCAGGCTGCAGAATATACCGCGCCATGCGCGCGGCACAGCTCTCAAGAAAATTTAGATAGCAAGAAAGAGTCAGAATTCACATTTTAAGCGCAGGGACAGCCACCACATCCATGCATCCCTTTCCTTTTGGCTCTCCTTCCTTATGAATACACACAAATTAGCCAGTGAGATGCAACACAATGGAATGAACAAACTGCAACGCAAGCGAGTGGGCGCATTAGATGGCAGCAGCCCTCCAAAAAGGGCTTTAATAGTCTACCATTTAATTAACTCACACTGACATCAAATGCTCACAAATTAAATGACAAAGCTGCTTTCAGCTCTCCCCCTTGATCCGAGAGGGTGGGACTGATGGCCAGCATCACACAGAGCCCAGACCAGAGGAGAGGGGGACTATAAATTGCACGGGTATAATGCCGTATTTGTAGATCCTCTTGGATCAAACGCCACGAACACGACGTGGCAGCAGATGCAGGAGCCGAATGGTGGATGGGATAGTCTTTTTTACCAAGATAAATGCCCTGCCTCTGGATTTTATATAAGCCTTTGTAAAAGGCACCTTTCTCCTCCCCAATTCGGCGATGCTCATTCCCCTAAATACAGACCTGGCTCCAGCAAAACGTGCCTGGTAACTCCTACCTGCCACATGCACTACTGTGGGGCTTCAGTATAAAGCTCAAGAAAATAGATTAATTTTAGGTTAAAAAAAAAAAAAAAGAAAAAGAAAAAGAGTTTATCCAAACTTATTTCTCAGCTTTCCCCCCCACCCCCAGAAAGTCCTTCTGCTGGGGAGGCACTTTAAAACTTCCCAACTTTGGCAATGACAGAGGTTTTAAGCACTGTAAGCCATCTCTTAGCAGAGACTCATGCCTTCAGACAGCAAAAGCAAATCTGGATTTCCTCAGAGAGCAACACTAAAAGTCACTGAATTCCTTTTAAATGTAAATCTTCTTTAAAGGTGTTCTACCAAGCTTCGATACCATCCTCTCCTTCTGGTGCTCTGGGGACCCTTCTACTGAAGAAATTATTTGCTATAGACTAATACTAAAAAAAAAAAACAAACCCACAGTGGCAGAATGATTTCTTTAATTATAAGTCATATTTTTCTGCTGGGTTTTTACTCCCCTCCTTCAGCCTCTACAGGGTGTCGCCTGATCCCTCCCTCGTCTCTGACGCGTGCTTATTTATTTTTCACAGCCGCTGTTTTACCAGCTGTAATTTGTACTTACAGCCGCCCGTTACTGCTTCCTCTCTTATTAATCCAATTGCGTAAAGTGTCGCCTCCATCATGTTGTTCTTGCTCAATGCAAAAATTCTGCAAAAAGGTTATTTCACCGGGGCTGTGTGACTGTGCTGTGCTCGGTAACGATTTTGGTGGATTTTAAGGAGTGATAAGGAAGGGGCAAGTGTCTGCTTTCCACTTCGACACACGCACTCCAGACCACAAGGTATCTCAGTGAGGCAAACAAAATTGAAGTAAACCTCCCAGTGTTTTTTCTTTCCATTTTGCAAAATGAAATAGGTGCCGCCTGGGGACACATCTCCTAAAACACAGCTTGTCCAGATTTGGGGTTTTGGGGATGGCTGCATCCATCTCCACGCAGGAAAGTCTCCTGGATTTTATACCACCTAAAATGAGTTCCACGTTTCTATCTTAAAAAGCTATGCGGCTTTTAAAAATATCAAGTCTTAGTGTCTCCCACTGGTTCCTTTAATGAGCCATCTGAGTATTTTATGCAAGTTTAGCGTCTGACACAGTTGTTCTCTTTTTCACTCCAATTCCCAGAACCGCACTGTGAGTAATGCCTCACCAAGCGCTTACAAACAGGGCTTTTCTATGGGCGAGAGCCTCACCAGATGGCAAACTTCACTTTTTTTTTTTTCTTTCTCCCCTCTGTCTTGAGATTAATCACACATTTGGCCAAAATAATAGGCAGCTGAGCTGCTGCCTTTGTTTCCTGAACATCACCCAGGGTGACGGGCGCAGGGCTCCTTGCCCTGGGCGGTCCCAGGCTGCAAGAGGCAAGACACATGTATTTTGGGTTCCCAGAAATCAGGCTACGGAGGGTCTCACATTGATACACACGTTTCATTTTAAGCATCCCAGTGGGAAACATCGGATGCCATTATCAACAATATAGCTAGTAAAAAGGTATTTCATTTTTTTCAGATCATCCACATGTGTACATACTGGCATATCCATCCAGAAGAGATGTACAAACCCTACGCAACCCTGTGGCACAGCACATTTTTCTTTTTCTTCTCAAAATGCGAGGCTGTAGCCCTGCAGCTAAGTAGAAACTGTTTTGACATCAATGGGAGCATGATGGAAAGTCAAGGAGATCACGCTTCTGGGGAAAAAGTGGAGCTACCAGAACAAAGGCAGAGCCGATCCACTGTTTACATAATATTCACAGTCATAAATAAGTAAAGAAAGGAGATTCCAACACAGAAAGTAGTTTCTAAACTGAAGGGTACTCAGTATCTTCTAGGAGCTGTTGATCTATGGAGAACTTGTCCTCAGGGTTACGCCAACCTGATTTCTCAAAGCCTTGTGGATAGGCATCCTCTGCTGTGACAGAGCTTTGCCCAACATCTCGCTGCATCAGCGCTTGGCAAAAACCACACTGTAACTGTGCACGTACTAAAACCAAAGGGCAGAAGAGCTCCAGACCCCTCCTGCTTGAGGAGATGGTGCCAAGCACTTCTACGGTCCCTCTCCATCAGGGTGCAGACACGCACATGTCAATGCACAGCAAAAGTGACAACCCACGACCCTGACTTGCCTCTGCAAGACACCAGAATTCATCATTTGGCTCTTCCTTCTTGCAAATTACCACAGATACTCATCCAGGCTTTCTTACACACTCAAGAGAAGCTGTGGCATCTCCATCCTTGGAGATACCCAAAGCCCAACTGGAGGTGACCCTGGGCAAGCCGCTGTAGGTGACTCTGTTGGACTAGAGGGTCTCTAGAGATCCCTAACCAACCTCACCCACCCTACAGATGTCCTGCCCACCCACAGCTAACAGGGTTGACACTTGGGATTACTCCAGAGGAGCCATCGGAGCTGTACCTCCATTGGAGACCCACTTATTTTATCCAGCTCTGAAGGCAGATTAAAGCAAACAGCGATTCAGTAACAACTACCTGCTGCACTCAAAACTCACCCCTACCTCCTTCCAAATTCCCCGTCAAGTCTGCAGCCGTTTCAAGCTCCACAACATTCTTCCATTAACCCCTCCTGGGCTGCAGCCCCGCTCCGAGCCACCGGAGCGAGCAGCGGTCTCAAGCCGTCTCCCCTCGCTTTGGCTCATCTCTAGCCAAACGCATCTGTGCCTTGCCCTGAAACACAAAGGAATTATGCCGTGGCTCTCTGCCGGCGCCAGCAGAACGGCTGCTTGGAAAGTCTGGCTGCAGACGGTGCCAAAAAAATGTGCAATTCACACTCTCGCCCCGAAAGGCGAATAAGTGACAAATTCGGCTCCTGTCCTGCTGCCAGGCTGTAAGCCCAGGCTGGGAAAGTTTTCTAAGTAATGCTTATGATTTAAGAGAATGATGAGCTATTAAGTTCCTGGTGAAATGAAAGATGGACCAACAAATAATCTGTGTGTTATTCTATGGGTCATTAAAATACAGGTTTATGATCCTTTTTAGAAGAAGAGGCTACTTAATTCAACACAGAAAAGTGGTTGTCAAGCTATGGCTGTTTGGTGCCATCTATTTTTTTTTTCCCCTCTTAAACTTTAAACCATCTTCTAAAATTACAATAACATTTGCTGCTTTAGGTTAGCAGCAATTTATTTGATATACAAACTCTTCGCCCCCTCATATGATGAGTAATTTTTACATTTGTTGGTTTTTAATAAGCAACCTTGTGAAAGCTTGACTTCTGGAAGAGTACACCTCATTTATCGCTTATTCGATTTGTGGGTGCAATATCCAGAACTCGGAGTGCACGCATATGGAAACAGGTAACGCACAGACAATTTAGGCATGGGAACACACAGATCCCTGCTGCAAAACCCAAGTGTACCGCTGTGGCTTGCTTTGCACCTTCGTTAGGACCACAGCAAAACGCTCTCTTCACCCCTTCTGCCAGATACACAGGAGCATCTCTGGGTTGAGCAGCACAGGAGGACGTGAGGGGTGATTCGTGGCAGCTACCAGACACACGCGAAGAGGGGATTCGCAGGATAACCCTCACCTTCTGCCCGAGCCCGAGGACATCTCTCCCGACAGCGGCACCCTGCAGGCAGGGAGGGGGATGCGGGGACAGCCGAGCCTGCCAGCGGTCTGAAGCCACACCACCAACCCTCCCCGAGGTTTCTTACTCCAGCCAAAGGACTCCCAGCTCAGTGGCTGCGGCTCCAGCACAAGTTCATTAATCGCACATAATTAAACAGTAATCACACTGATTTACCAGCTGCGCATGGACCTAAATACTCCACAAATACATATTCCATGACTGTGCAGTTGCTAATTTACTGCAGACACCGAGTAAACTGGATTTGCTGGGCTGTTACCTCCTCGTGAGATGCTGCAGAAAGGGGTCTATGCAGCAGTGGCACATCCGTATTTCATATACAGTATTTCCTGCTCCTTTTTACTTCTAAATGAAAGAAAAACCTATCAGGTTCTTTTAACTGTAAGTCTTAAGATAACAGTGATCTAAAACAAAGAGTACAGATGATCTTCCCCCAAAAAAAAATCAAAGACGAGGATGTCTGTTGATATACGCAAGAAAAGATGTGACACGTTTGACTCCCTTTTTAACTCCACTGCCCAAAAACCTATTAATGTCTTAATATTGCCACAACAGCACCGGTTGGAAGAATAGCTTACTTCCGAAGCATTTAATTTTGCAGCTGCCTAAGTACATCGGTTTTAACTTTCTAGTAGAAAAGAGTTTCCCCATAGCCTAAAAAACTTTTAATGAGTTTGCCATCGTTGGTTTGTTTGGGTTTTTTTTTATATTCCCAGTTTGAGAGTTTAAAAAAAAAAAAACAACCTCTTAAAAAAAAAAAGATCTAGAAAAGAAAAGGACACACATTTGTGACAGATCCTGGCAGTTGTTTGGGGGACTTTTTTTTTTTTTTAAATGCATGGTATGGTTTGTGGGGTTTTTTTGTTGGTTTTTTTTTTTTTGTTTTTTTTTTTTTTAAATTCAATGTGTCAGATCTGAGAACATACCTGATGCGGATTAGCTTAGAAAAGGAAAAACACGATGAGATGAAGAAGGATATGGATTGGTCTGATCAATAAACCACACTATTATCAAACTCCCCAGGAAACACCAGCTCTGGGATTTATTCAACCAGTTCCTCTGGCCACGCACAGCCTCTGGACTGTGGGTTATCTGAAGACAGCCTCCTCTGGACAGACTTTAACGCTCAGTGGGGTTTCAGAGCTCCCCCTCCTTCCCTACAGCACACCTGGGACCTCCAAAGATGCTTGCCATTACATGGATTTCAGATCAGAAACGCAGCATCTGGCCACACAGCTCTTATTTCTACGCAAAGCCTCTCATTTTTAAGCAAAGCTGCAACAAAACAAGGGTTGAAACGTTCCTACCGCCAGCTCCACTGCTGGTTAGTGCCTCTGCCACATCAATCACGGAGACCCTCTACAGAAGACACGGTTTGCAAGAACACTTCTTTATAACACTGCTTGCCTTTGCCAACAGTCATTTTTCGAGTATTTTGTAAAAGGAGGAAAAACCCTCACTCCAGAAGACAGGGAGGAGGAAAAAACACTGGTGTGCCTGTGCTCTGGTCCCACAGCCTGAGCGATATACTCACTAGGTCATCTTGCCCCTGCACACATCAGGCCTGAATGGTCCTGGCTGAAGATACCACCATGGTATCAACGCTTACCAATCGGTCACTATGAAATCAGGCTATACCTTTCAGCCTTTTTTTCCCCCCCTCTATATCTAAAACTGGGGAAGTATGAAACCTGAAATCCCTCTTTATCCATGGACATAGCAAGTTAAACCTCTCATTACTGTGATTTCGGTACATTTTTAACCTGTCATCCTGGGCTCATTCGACATCTTCCCAACTCCAAAGACATGGCACGCGTCGCGCTCCCTCAAGCTTTCAGCATCTGTCCATCTCAGAAGTTGTAATACCTTTATCAAGCGAAGCTCCAGCCATATGGTAGAAGCTCAAAGCTGTGTCCACGTCATTTATGTTCTTCAGAAAAGTGAAGAAGCTCTCCACCTCCTCAAACGTTAGACCCTAGGACAGAGAAAAGACAGTCTTACAGTGATGGGAAAGAGGAGATTGTCACACTACCTGGATTACAAAGTGACTCAAAGCTGTAGCCAGAGGGGAATTCATCTGCACGCTCAAAACATTCCCACCTTGGCACCTGCAGATACTTTTGTTAACCATCTCTGCTCCTCTCCCAGCCCCCCTAGTTGTGCGACAGAAAGGGACTTACCCATGTACTGTCAGTGGTGGCAGAGACCAAAAAGCATTTCTCTGGCCCTCGCTCTGCAGCCAGCTCTGGCCCAGAGAAGCGGACACACCACGAGCCTGCGGCTGGGATGCAGGAGACCGCTACAAGCGGGTTCGTTTATAATTTTTTTCCAAGTCTGCACACTTGCAATTACAATAATGAAATAGTTCAAGCACTGCACAGTCCCTCCCAAGAAATTCAGCGATCCCTGGGGGGGATCCACGTCTCACCCAGTGTTGCAGAAGGCGACACTGCAAACCACAGCACATATAGATGTGCCCCAGTTAGCTTTGCTGCTGGTGGCAGGATAGCTGTGGGGCTGGATCGCCGTCTGCTCTACTTACCGGCACAGTCACCCGGGGCTGGGCTCACCCTGAGACGGGTGAGCGTGTGCTCGCTGCACGCATACAGCCAACACACCAGGACAATCACAGCAACACATCCCGAGATCCCCCAGGGCTGGCGCCACTGCACCGCCGATGGGCAGGCAGGGGGTGACATGCTCCTCTCTGCACCAATCTGACCGGCGAGGAGCCCGCTGGGAGAGCAGCCACCAAGGAGCACAGCTCCAGGACCCCCACCCCACACTACACAACACCCCATTTTATGCACCCATTTAGCTCCAGCACGGCTATATCAGTGCTGGGACAAGAGCTGCAGCATGCAAACCCCCCCACCCCCAGCCACGTCTCAGAGCCAACGGAGGAGGTAAATCATTGCCACAGTAATAACCATTCAGCCTTCCTCTCTGGAGGAGATAAATCAGCTTGTCAAGAGGAGTTCAGGTTCAGGCTCCTCCCATGCTGTCTAGCACGACAGACTTCTATAGCAAGATACTAAAAATCCCAACTGCATAACATGGCACAGTTTCACGGTCTGGATGGAAGA